CGCCCCCCGCCCAAGAGGAACGAAGGGGACGGGAAAGGAGGAAGCAGGGAGGAAGGGAGCAGGAGGGTGGGAGGATGCTCGAGGCAGGGGGCGGAATTGAGGAGGGAGGGCGGTGGAGGGATCACCGCCATCGCAGGCGCGATACGGCTCAAGCCGATCCTGGCTCAAATTGGCTCAAGATTCATTTGCATTCAAGTGACCACATTCCCGTACCCCCTTAAATTCCGTGAACCTGCCTGAACAATCCCGTTCATCCTACCCTCTCGCACGCTCATGCCTGATGTCTTCTTCGGGTGCGAGTGGGGACGAGCGCGTGCCAGGCACCCCTGTCAGGCAGCTGTTCAGCGGTGACCGTCTCCCACCTTCTACGCCACCGTCGACCCCAACTCCAGGCAAACCCAAAGCAAAGGTAATAAGGATTGACAGCCCGCTGAATGAGATGGACGGGGTTACAGAACCGGCTCCCGAAGATCTCCCAGCCACACGTCAACAGCAGTACGAACATGCTCTTGCAGGGGCATCTTCAAGCACGACGGCAACGCTAGAGGCGATCGAGAAGCTCTTGAAGCCGATTCAGAAGGACATCGCGGCTATCAAGGCACACGGAATCTCTCAACGTGATCTTCAAGATGCCGTGTCACCAGTGAAGGCTTCGTTGGAAAATCTGGAAGCGCGAGTGGCAACTATCGAAATTGGTCCCTCGCGACCAGCATCTACCTGGACGGCATCAGATACCTCGTTGAGCCCTGAGGTTGAAGCACGCCTCGGAGCTTTGGAGGGCCAATTTTCCGACCTACGCCACGCCTCACATCAGGCAACTGAGACGATTGTTTTTGGGAACTTGGAGGGATTGGGGTCGCTAGAAGAGGTAGTCGCATTTCTCAAACAAGAGATGGCAAAGTCAAACATGCCAGCGCCGAGTGACATCTACATCATGTAGATGTCACTCGGCGTCACCTTTCATTGATGTCACCTTTCCTTGAAAGGTGACATCTACAACGGCATTGTTTGTAGAGATGAGTGGCGACACAAATGCAGAGACAGCGCTACGCATGTTACGAGCTTCACCGATTTCTTACCAAAACAGAAGAATTTGGGTACATAAAGATAGGCCAGCCTCTATCAGGATCCCAATCCGGATGCTATTCGGCCTGAAGCGGCTTCTGGTGCAGTGGGGCTTCGAGAAACACAGCGTTCAGATAGACGACGGGAAGCTCACCATGCACGCCGGGGGCGAGCACATCCTATCAGTCTGCTCCGTGGGAGGTGCGCTCAAGCTCACATGGCCCAGCACAGAATGGGAGAATTGGACTGACCTCCAAAACGATGCGGCTTTCATCGAGCTCCGCACGTCCTGCGAGGAAGCCCTGGCCCGTGCCACTGACATGAGAAACGGGAAAGGGGAGAGGGAAGAATTGACGGAGCCCGGAGGGCGAGGACACTGTTTCACCCAATCGTTTTTCAGAGCCGTTGGGATGCCCGCGCCCACGTGGAGCCTTGAGTGCACAAAGCGGGCACGTCACAATCGCCACGTGGAACGTCACCGGTTTAACCGACGAGAAGCTTTACTCACTTTGCGAAGCAATGCGTGTTTTGAAGACTGATTCTCTGCCTCCAGGAGACATGGGCTTCGAAAGCAGAGTACTACACAAACGACGGGTATTGTATTATTTCGTCAGGTTCGGAGAATGCAGACAGCGTTGACAGACCTAGATCAGGAGTGGGATTCAACATTGCGCCCCACATGGCAACGTGCATCTGTGGCTTCTTGCAATATTCAGACCGGCTCGCTTGCTTGAAGATCCGGGGAAACGGAGGTAAGCATGCGCTGATCACCGGCTACGCCCCGCACAACCTCCGACAACTACCTGAACGATTGCACTTTTATTTGGAATTGGAAAAGCTGCTTAACACCATATCGGTGAATAGACTCAAATATATTGCTGGAGACTTCAACGCCCGGCTTGGCCAACAACGGCAAGGCGAAGAACATGCACTTGGGCCGTACACTTTTGTAGAAGAAGCGAAACACAAAGTAGAGTCACCCAACCGGGATCTATTGATGGAGTTCTGCACGGTGCAGCAGTACAGCATCAACAACACTTGTCAGAATGTGCCCGACGGACAACTGATTACGTACATGGAGAGCGGCACAAAACCCAACGACGCCATCCTGCCGGACAGATTTGCTCTGCTCGATTTGTTTCTCGTGCCAGGCGTAAGGTTCGACCGAGTAGTGTCCGTTGAAAGCCACCGAGAAGTAGCAGGCACTTCCTAGTATGTTGTCAGATCGACCTCGACATTCAGCATTTTCAACCACGTCGACACCACAGTCGAAAACAGAGAGGGAGTTTGCAAAAATCTGGTCTACGACAGCAATTTGTTACGGCGTTTGTGGAGAATTGCTCGGAGGACGTGGGCGCCGCTGACGTGGTCGAAGGCGCCTGGTAAAACATCTCGGCCGCGATCGGGGCTGCATCCGAGGTCTTGCCTGACGAGCCGCCCCAACCCAGACGACCGTGGATCAGTGGCCGGACAGTACAGCTCATCCAAGAAAGAGCGCAGGCTCGAGTGGACGGGAACGCCGTTCAGGAGAAAGAGAAGCACAAAGCTGCACGAAAATCTGCACGAGAAGATAAATCCAAATGGCTGGAAGATTTGGTGGCGACTGGTTCCTGGAACGATATCCGGAAGTTCCGAAAACCCCGTCCCACCAGGCAGGGGCGGCTCTGGAACTTGCAAGGAGAATTAGTCAGCAGCGAAGACCGAACAAATACCATGGCACCATACCTCGAGACGGCGCAATGGGGCGTGCGTCCAGCCGACGCTGTCGACGCACCCGCCCTCGGACCTGCGTTGCCTGTCAACTTGGCCAATTTCACGGATGACGACGTCAGAACATGTTTGCGCAAGCTGCGCGATGGCAAAGCACCCGGGCCAGACGGCATCCCACCAGAATATTGGAAAGCACTTGCAGACGACTCCACGGCATTACAACGCATCACGACGTTCGTGAATCATTGTTGGCAAGGGCGAAGGGTTCCGCAAGGATGGCACAAAGCAAGGGCAACAGCAATACACAAGAAAGGAAAAACAGATGATTGCGCGAACTATCGACCAATGAGTCTTCTCGCGATTGGGTACAAAGTATTCGCGTCTTTGATGCACCGACGTTTGGTGGAGGCAGGAGCTGAATCCAGGCTGACGGGATCGCAATTTGGTGTTCGATCGAAGCATGGGACACGAGAGGCGATTTTTGCGCTCCGTCGGCGTATAGAGTTGGAGATTGGTACATCATCAGGTAATCTGTATGCATTGGCCTTGGACTAGCAAGAAAAAGCTTTCGACTCCATCAACCCTTCGGCCATGCTACGCGGTCTGCGACGTTTCGGCTTGCCCGAGCACATATTGGAGGTCATAAGTGCGGTTTCCAGCGACAGAATCTTCGAGGTGCGAGACTGCGGGGCGACTTCTTCCTCGAGGCCGCAGTCCTCCGGGATATCGCAAGGATGCCCTCTATCACCCTTCTTGTTCGTGATGACCATGACAGTAGTCATCGAAGACGCTGTCTCCCTACTTGCAGCAGAACACAGCACACTCTGGAACAGTGGATCCCTTTCCGTTTTGCTGTACGCGGACGACACGCTGATTCTGGGAAGGACGAAGCGGGCAGTGGGAGACAGATTAGCTGCTATTCAGATTTCTGGGAAATCCTATGGCATGGAGCTGCACCCAGACAAGTTCCAACTGCTTCAAACCAGATGCGCAAGCAGTATTCAGGATTCGAATGTTCACATCCTACGGGCGCATGAAGACATGATTGATTTGGGTGCTTTGATTTCTGGAACAGGCGCCGCGGGTAAGGAGCTCAGTCGCCGCCTGGGCGCGGCGCGTGCCGACTTTGACAAGCGGTCCAAGATATGGCGACATTCAGGCCTGAGCAGGCGCAGAAAATGTGAGGTCTACAGCGCCGTCGTTCTTAGCAAGCTCACGTATGGTTTATCGACTCTGTGGCTGAATGCTGCGGAGAGAAGGCGGCTGGCTGGCTTCCATTGCCGGTGTCTTCGCGTAGTATGGGAAGCGAACCAGCATACATCTCCAGGGTGAGCAACGTGATAGTCTTAGACAAAACGGGGCAACACCCTCTGACGGACACAGTGGCACGACAGCAGCTTTTCCCGCCTGGCAGAATCTCCAGGACACCAGAAGGGAGCCACCTCAGGAACGCCACCTTCTGTCCTGCAAGTTGCAGGCCAGCAGCAGACCGATACGTGAGAAAGGTCGGCCGGCCACGCGCAGACTGGGCAACCCAAGTGCTACGAGTCGCTTGCGCGGCGGCGGGCGGCATGTCAAAGTTAAACCCAATCTGGGCTCATGAAGCTTCCTGGCGGCAATTCGTACGCCCAGCAAAGCTGACCGTATAGCGCCGCGCGGTCCGAATTTGAGCTTTTAGCCAGCAGCATGTTCCAGTCCAGTGTCCTACGCACCTCCGGGTGTATGACTTCTTGTTTGCTTGCTTGCTTGCGCGATACAATTAAACAATTTCAAAGAGGGCAACGCGTTCACCTTTCGAGCGAAAGCTGAAGCGGGTTCCCCCCCTGTTGCTCCCGGGCACGGCGTTCACCCTAGAGCAGAAGCTACGGCGGGTTCCTCCCCCCATGTTCCCAAACCTGAGCGGCACGCACTTTGGCGCGCCGCGCATCCTCACAAGTCCGAGGCGGCGGGCACCTGGGGGCAGCATGGAAGCTCTGGGCCTGCACTGCACTGCCGCACAGGGCCCTCAAATAACGACGCGCACCTTGGCGCGCCGCCCCAATAAGCCTCCGTGGGGCGCCACTCCAACGGAGACCAACCTACCGCAACGCACGCCTGGGCGGGGGACCCAGGCCGTGGGAAGGATGGGCAGGTGCAAAACAGGCGACGAGGTGCAAGAGTCTGTCCCCCGCCCGCCCCTGCCGAACACCGTGGTTGCCCACGACCCTCGGGCAAACACGGGCGAG